GCCAGAGAACAGCCTGTTCACCGCTCTCCTGCCCACGCGCCGAGGCACTGGCTGCATTCGGCAGGCGTGATGGGCTCCTATAAATCACAGGGTTGCTTTTTTGAGGGGGAGTGGTCAGGCAGCTGGCAGCTGAAGGAGAAGGGGCCAGTGGTGGCAGTGCTGGCTTCAGACCCACGCTTGATGAATGCGATGGCTGAGGAGTTCCCGCTCGTCTCTCCCAGGCGAGCAGAATTAATCTCTAAAGGCCGCTAAGAGGCGGCTGCTTTCCCTGTCTGCACACGGAGGAACCCAGGCAAGGCCTAAGACCTTCATGGCCAGCACGGCAGGTGCCCGTGGGCCTGGCTGCATTGCTGGCAGTGCACGTCGGCAATCCTGTCAAACTGGGGCCCTTCTCGCTGGCTCAGGCCCCCAGACCAGTGGAGAAGTGACAGCCCATGCAGCCCCTGGGTGGGTTCGCCGGTGGTGCGTTGTGCTTTTCCTGCTGTTGGCACCCAGGCCCGGTAGACAGAAGCCAGCTCAGGTGGGCTGACACACACACACAACACTGGCACTCTGTTTTGCTGCGTAGGTGTCCCCGGAGATTAGCAGGCAGCTGTCAACACGGATTGCAAGCACCTTTGTTTCTCGCCTTTGTTTAAAGTTGTGCAAAATATATGGCAATGAGGTACCCAGCCTGGAGGGGAATAGCGCACCTGAACTGTCCGTGGAAACCTGAGGGAGGGGCAGAAATAGGGCACTTAGCAGGGGCAACCGCCAGAAGCTGTGACTCCTGGTCTTTCTGTAGGGCCACGGGACACAGCCACGGGAGAGGTTGTGCTATCACAGTCTGATGCTGCCAAGATCCTCCTTTGCCTCTTTCAGTGCGAGTGAAAGGGCCTGAGCCAGAAACACGGGGAGAGCCAAGGGGTGTGGATGGACCAAAGCACTTCAAATGCCTTCAAAGCACTTTGGAGTTAGTAGTGCAAATGCATGTGCAGTTTGACACGCTCTAAAAGGCGCAGTCGGGCACGTGGCGTGTCCAGGACTGGGGCCACAGGGTGGCTGGGCTCCATTTCCCTGCAGCCCCGGTGGTGGCAGCTTCTTTCGGCTCCTGGAAAATGAAGCATGCAGCCCCAGCCCACCCCACCTCTGGGGCTGAGGTCCCTGCAGCACCCGCTCCAGCCCTGCCTGCCCAGCCATGATGAGTGGTGGCGGTGGCCAGGCAGAGGCTGCTGCTGGGCACTGGAAAAAAAGTGGGGCCTGGCAGCAGTGGGACCTGACTTACTCCTCTACTTGGGCTCGGACCAATGCCAGGTTTGGAAATAATGGGGTATGGGTTAATAATGAGGCAAGTGTCTGCTGTTGCAGGCCACTCAAAGCACAGGAGGCTCGGAGGGGGGCAAAGCTAGTGGGACTTTGCAAGAGAGAGGCAACGCTAAGCCTGGCCCGGGACAGGCAGCACCTGACAGCCTGGAAAGGACTCGGATTCAAACTCTTCTTGATTCAACACTTCTGAAATCCTTGAATGGCAACCGGGGAGATGGAGGGGTGGTGGAAGAACGTCACCTTTGGGTCTACGGGGAGGGATAGCTATTGAGAGGCTTTTCGATAAGAGTCACAAAGCTGTTGGCATGTGCAATTTTCAGCCCAAATTAAGAGTTCCCTGGAGCCGGAGGACGGACTCCCATTGATGTCGGCGTGCGTTCAGCCAGGCCCTGGATGAGCCAGGCGTGCAGCCATGCGGCCTCCCTGGCCTGCTCCCCCAGCACAGCTCCTGAAGCCAGGCTTGCTTTACAGCTGCCCCAGGTGCGCTCCTAATATCTGCTGCCTCCTGTGCCCATCCTGTTCATGCCACATGCCCCCCTGTGCTCACATTGCCTTTAGCAATGATTTGGGGGTGGTGAGGACTTGTTCTGTTTAAAACAACCCAACCTATTCTCCCTTGAGCCTTGGGCTTAGCAGGGCTTTTGCTGCTACGGCTCGTTCTCACGTTCCTCCTCCTCCTCCAGTCCGTCTCAGCTGCTTGGTTCCTAGATAGGTGTCAGCTCTTACCGGGACAGCTTGGCAAACCCGAACGAGTCGGAGGTGCCGAATGTATTTGTTGCTTATCATTTCTATTTCCAGCTGCGCTAATGGGCTGTGTCTAACGGTGCCCCCTTCGCCTGCTCTCTTGCCGGCAGACGGTGCTAGGCTGGCAGCCCCAGAGCTTGGAGCAGGTTTGCTATGGTCGAAGCAGGGCCAGGTCCGTGGTGATGAGCAGCTGTTAGAGGTCACCAGTTTATAAGATCCAAGGCAGCCCAGTGCGGTCTGTCAACAGAGAGGCAAAGGCCTGGATCAATCCATCTTCTGTAGCCCCGATAGTCTGAACAGACTCTCATCTCTATTGGGAAGAGAGCCAGTCGTGGATCCCTGCCTAGCTAATCCCCTCGCACCCAGCTCCCGGCAGCACTGGGCACGAGTTCTCTGCACCAGCGGAAGCGCCTGGCGGGTCACGTGTGCCCCTTGCACGTCCCTCCAGCGCTTCCAGGGTCCCGTAAGGGAAAGCTAAGGGACACACGGGATTGTCCCCCAGCCTGCTCCTGCAGCACTGGGGTTTGCAGGTCTACTGCTGCTGCTACCTGTAGCTTCTGAGTGCCTCTGGGGCTTGGTGATAGCCATGATGTCCTGGCAGGGTGCTTGTGAGCATAGATAATGGTGAAATGGGTGGCAGTGACTAGTTAGCGACATATCCCGTTCGCCTTCTGGAAAAAAGGCAGCTGCCAATTCTGGGTCTCAAAAGGGGGTTGCTGGAGCCCTCAGTCTCCCCTGGGACCCTAATCCCTTTTCTTGCACCAACTGCACCGAGTAGTAAAGTCACCATCTGTGCAAAGACATTAGAGCGGCAAAGAGGGGCTGCCCAGCCCAGTGGTGGGCGAGGGGGAAGGTCTTTGGCTGAGCAAGACCTGTTCAGTAACTAGCCAGGGCTGGGGGCAGTGTGTCGGCCACTCCCAAACCCCTTGGGGACTGGCTCGGAGGGCTCTGTGCAGCCCCTGCTGCTCCCCAAATGCTGTGGCTGGAGCTGGTGACTTCCCCAGACTGTCCTGGGGGCCGGCTTTGCCCTTTGGCTGTCCTGTAGCAAGAGGCAGGTCTTGCAGAGCTGCTTGCGCTGCCCCCCTCGCTGGCGTGGGCAGGGGGGCACACACAGACGGCCCGAGGAAAGCACCGGTTGCCATAGCCAGTTTTAATGGAAGCCTGTCTCTGCCCTTTACCAATACGATGGAGCGGGACTGACTTCAGACACAAATTCGGGATGAATGACGTAGCTGCCCCGCTGGGCTCCTGTCGTCTTGAAGTGGCTCGTGTCCCACCTGGGAGAGGAGACACAGCAGAGGTGTATGAGCCTGTGGGCGCTCCCTTGTCAACCCCCGGGATGTGGAGCCTGGACCTGCTCTTTGCTGGGTGATGGCAGGAAGGTGCTTCCACCTGCTCGCTGCCAAATGCCGACTGCTGGGTTTGGGAAAGGGTGGCCAGGCCAGGGGGCCGACTTGAGAGGAGCAGAGGGATGTTCAGGGCCAAGGGCGAGGACGTGGCACATCTTTTCCTAGCGGGGTCTTGCCTGTGCTCAGCTCGGAGCAGGCACCAGAGCACACCGGGGTGGACCGGTATTTTCCACACGTGCCTGCAGCTACAGCAAAGCCCCTCCGGTGCTAGTCTCGCCTGCCCCAGGGCTACCGGGCAGGTTTCATAAATCCCCAGCTCCTGGAGTCACAGGATTGGGTCAGAATAGCTCGTTTGCTTCCGGGTTTTTTAAAAAGCGGATCTCTTGCCTTCCTGGCTCAGGAAAAAAAGGCTCTGAAACCAGAATGCAAATCAAGACAGCCCCAGGTTCATCATCAAGTACGGGAGCAGTGTGTGTGTTGTGTCTTTGCTTCAGCCTCATCAGATGATTTCTTGATCTCACTGGTTTCTAGGTCCCTAGGCCTGGACTTGAGCCCGGAAGAGCAAAGTCCTTGGCTGCGGCTAATCTCGTCAAACAGGCCTCCCAAGGCCCGTCCCAGGGCAGAGCTGCCAACTGGGTGGAAGGACCTTAAAAGTAAACTTGCAGAGATTTAAGAGGTACGGCTGGTGGGCTGGGGAAGGACGAGGCAGATTAGCAACCTGCAGGGACCAGCACGGCATGCAGATGTGCTCTGCTCTCTCTGCTTGCTTGCTTTCTTATGCTCTTCCCCTGACGTGTCTGCTCCTTGCCATGGTGGGACACGGGCCTATTTGCTATACGGCGGCGGTGGACCTAGGAACTATGAGCCCCCCTCAGTACCTGGAGGGCAGCTGCTAAAGGTCTGACAATGAAACCCATGGGACAAATGATGAGAGAGGAGGAAGGGGAGAGCAGGTCGCAGGTTAGCAGCCAGGCGCTCCAGCCAGCAAACATATCAGAGGGGCCTGCCCGGTAAAAAGGGGCTTCATCTCCCTGGGAGCCTTGTCGGGCTACCATCATACATGTCACTGGACCTTATTGAAATCCTGACTTGACAGCAGTGGCCCGTCATAGGGAAAAGTGCAGGGCTGTTCTGCATGGGAAATACGTTACCTTGTGGCACCCCTGCGCCCCCCACTCCCAGTGGACCCGGGGGTAAGGCTCTTACTTAAGGTTCATATACGGGGATGATGGCGGCGGGTTGTGCAAAGGTGCATAGCACGTCGTTCCTTGGCGGCTGTCGCAGTATGGGATACTCCTGAAACACAGAGGCGAGCCCGTGTTAGCCCAGGTGATGACGTCGGGGCGGTGCGGGGGGCAGGTACGTGCTGGGCATGTGGAGCCCTGCAGCGACCCGGTGCGCAGACCTGGCTGCGCCTGAGCTCTCTCTTTGGACAAGAGCAATGCCCAAGGCGGCTTTCCGACTCGGTGCAGTGGGGCTCACAGTCCCGCTGGGGTGCGTGGCCACTGTCTGCCCCTGTCTCTAGCACGTTGCTTTTCCCCAGGCCCCTGGATCAACGCCCCGTTAGTAACTGCCCCTCCTCGCCCTGCCCTCCAGTCTGTGGGTCAGCTTGGCGTGGGGCTTTTGGGGTCCCCTCTTTTGGCATCCTCTGTCCCGCTGTGAATGTGGGCTGTGCTTGGGTGCAGGGCAGGGGCAGAAGGGAGGTTTCCCAGACTGTCCTGGCCAGGATTGCTCCTGTCTCCTGGGTGCAAGTTCAGCATTGCCTTCGGTTGTGACTCTTGCAGCCGGTGGCTGCAATGAATTGTGTCAGTTCTCTGCCCACCCGCCCATGGGGGGCTCCAGGAGGCAATGTGGGCACCCTTCTGCCAGCACCCCCACTTCTCCCAGCCTCTCCTGGCCCTTTCCCAGCTATGGGGGATACTGTTTGGGTCCCGGGCAATGGGGTGGAGGGTGTTTCCCACCCACCACCAAGGCGTCAAGGAAGGTGGCAGGCGGGTTCCCCACAGCCCCGGGGGCTGCCAGAGGGGATCCCCAGGGGCTTCTCGGCTAGGGCACTGGAGACGCAGCCGACTCGGTGGCCTGGCTAAGTGGCTTGGACAACTGAGCCTGGTGCAGCATTTGCCCTGCTGCACCCCTACTCCAGGTCTGGCATCGCTACTCCGGCCCCCATTGCAGGAACCGATGAGCTGGACTCCGGCTTTGCTGAAGCCGGCGCCTCCCCCAGATGTCTTGGCTTCCAGAGACCCCAGGGGGGAAAGCCCTCAACCCTGGACAGGGCTGCCACCCCCCTCCCAGCAGAGTCCCTTCCCAGGCCCGAGAGGGGAAGCTGCGGGTCCCCCGCGCAGCCTCCGAACCTTACAATCTTCTCCACGAGCTGGTTGAGCCGCCTCTCGTTGGGGGCTCCGTCCACGTAGTAATCCATCCCTCGCAGGCAGTAGTGGCGGCCCGAGCACGGGCTGTAGTAGCCTTGGAAGGGCCGCCTCCCGGGCACCGTGTGCTGGTGCTGGAGGGAGGGCAGCTGCTTCCGCGACAAGCTGTTCAGCATGTTGACCACGACTTCCTGCTCTGGAACGAGACGGGTTTCGTGGCAGCCGGCAGCCCTGACACGTGGGCACGTGTCCTCCTTGGCCCACCCGCCCCCTGCTACCAAGCCCACGGCAACTGGGGCAGACCATGCCCACCGGTTAGTCCCAGTGAGGTGTACGTGTGCTAGTCGTGTCACAGGCTAGGACACTGGGACCCCTCCAATGCAGCTAGGGTTTAGGCCAAGCCAGGGCAATTACCATAATTGTTGAGCTGGTCGGGCTTCGGAGGGTACTTTTCCCGGAGAATGGTCTCCATTTCGGTTTCCTGGGAGGAAAGATTTCAGAGCCTTTGCTTACGTCCAGTTAACAGGCAAAGCCCTCGAGTCGTCTGCAGGGGCAGGGCCCTTTGCTTGGGGAGGTGAGGGGCCGTCTTGCCTCCTTGACCTCTGTGGCAACTCCCAGTCCAAGGGCTAACTGGTGATGTGGGAAAACATGGTCTTCCTTTTGAAGGGCATCGTTGCATTTAATCTCTTAGACCTAGATCCTCAAAAGCACCAAGGCCTCTAGCTCCATCAGCGGGCATTACCTTTTTCCTCCATCTGGGATACAGGGATAATTGTACTTGCTGCCCTACTGCCTTGAGATGCCTCGGTGGAGGTGAGAAGCAGTATTAGATTAAATTGAGGCGTGGGGAATGAGATGTCACAGTTGTGGTTTGGGGAGCGGGCTTAGCTGGGTGATTCGCATTGGGACTGTTAGAAGAGCCCCAGGGGCTGACACCCCCATAGCCTTGCAGGAGACCCCTCCCCATGGCAGGGTAGGAGCTCGGTGGTTTCCTAGAGAGGGCGAGGGGGTTACCTTGGGCAGCCGGGGCAGGTAGGTGGTGTATCTGTTCCAGCTGGCACTGTTGTAGGGTCCTGTCCGCCATGTCGCATACCGGTCGCCTTTCACAAAAATCGGGTTGTATGTTTCTGAAAGACAAGTGGGCAGACAGATGCACATTTTCTGTCGGGGAAGGAGCAGAGCAGCAGTTGCAGCTCCACGGTGCTCTGAGGTCCTAGGATCCAGCCTCTGGGCTAACCCACGTGAGACCTGGTAACCCCGATATCAAGCCCCATAGCTTATGCCAGCCCGGCACATCTTGGCCGGAAATGTGCCCCCAGCCTTGAAGTCATCAAGTGATGGGACCCCCCACTCAATGGCCAGTCACCCTCCGTGGTCAGTCTATCGCCCCTTACTGGAATGGGTCTGGCTGCAGGGTCTTGCTCTGCTTTTTGCCACCAGGCAAAGGAGCGTTTCTGTTCCCAATCAATTCTGCTCATGAAGATACAGTATAACCCAGGTCATTACTAAGTGAGAGGTTTGCAACCTGCTGGGTTCATGGCAGGTGGCTGAATTAGGGTGAAGTTACATGTTGCCCATGGACCACACTAAGGGCACTTAACATGTGAGTGACTGCATATTAAAGCTCATTAACTTGTGCTAAAGGCCCTCTGAGAGTCCCAAAGTGATGCCAAATCACGTGAGGGTTAACTCTGGGCCGTGCTACCCCAGCTCATATTAGGCTCGCTTCAGTCGGCTCCCTGGAGATAAAACCAGCAATTTGAAGTCCTCCAGCATCCCAGGACGCATCGCTCCCAGCCAGGTCCCTGCTCACCAGCCTTCTAGTGGCAAATTGGAACTGTGCAGCAAGAAATGGCATTAACCCTTAACGTGCCACAGATTTAGCATGGGCTAAGTGCAACGTGGAGCTTCCCCCTCAGAGACGAGCTCCTCAGCTGTTTGCTCTGGATTTTACTTCCCAGGAGCTCATCGGTGGTCCCTTGCAGCTCGTTGGAGAAACACCCTCTGATGCCGCCAACATCTGGAGCCTGTCTGTGGCCCTGCCCAGCTGTTTGCTGCCACTGTGTATACCCTGGCTGGTTCGCAAGCCCTCACTTTCACAGGGCAGCCAGGAGCTGGACCCTGTGAAGCAGCCAGATTCACCTGTGCTCTGCAATCAAATCTCTTCTTGATCTTGCCTAAAGCTAAAGAGGTCGAGCTCTTGCTGTTTTCTCCAGCCCTGCAATCATATCGGTGGCTTTCGGCTGCATCCTTCCTAGGTTCATTGAAAACATGGGGTACGGACCTGGATGCAGTATTGGCCTTTCAGTGCTGCATGCAGGGGGGATATTGCTTCTTTCCCCCTCCTCGCCCTGCCCCTGTCTATAGAGCCAAGGCTCATGTTAGCCCTGTCTACAACCATAGCCTGGGTAAAACCTGGATAACCGAGCCTGGCCGGATGCTTGGGAAGTGGGAAGTGTCTTCTGCCCGTTGCATTGCCTCTGCAGTGTCTGCTTCCCATCCAAAGTTGGGCTATGGTAGGTGGTGGCTGCCCTGTCCCTCATCACAGCTGGCAGGAGTATGTCAGCACAAGGTTCAGAAATGCAATCAAACAGCGTGTGACTTCTTACCCGAAGTAGGAGGAGATGCTTTGTTATCCCTGGCATGGCTACGGCATCTCTTCTAAGGGGAGGCACAGACTCCTTTGCATCTGGGCCCAAAGTCTGCATGCAGCCACCTGGCTTTACTGGGAGCTGCGGGGGTGTTGTTTGGACCCTCACGTGGGGCGCCTGTTTTGGAGGCTTAGCTGAGCTGTAACAGCCACCATCCCATCACCTTCCACCACCGGAGCCCTGACCGCCTCGGCGTGCCCACAAGGGAAGGGCACCAAGGAGAAGCAGTGAGCGGGGGGTGCGAGGAAGCCAGTTCGTGGGTGCCACCGAGGAAAGAAAGAAAGCTTTCTTCCCCACTTGGAGGAGGAAGATGAACCTTGCAAAGAAGGGGAGAAGCTCAGTGACGGGAGGGAGGAAGAGGGACCCTCTGTATCCCCACGGCCAAGTGACAGGAGGGATCTTGTCTTGGCGCCGGCAGCTCCCAGCTGAATGGGGCGGATGTGGCCTCTCCTCTCCCCTCCCTGCCCAGACCGGGGTGCAGGCTCTCACCCGGGCATCAAGCGTCCCTGGCGCTTGGATGGGAGACCCCAGCGGAGTCCCAGGCACCACGGGTACAAGCCGTGGCGTCGTGGCCAAGCGCTACGTTGGAGAAACCAAAATGGGCGGCAGGGACCTGGTTCGGTCCCGCAGGGAGGCTTCAACCGTCTCTGCCTCTGGGCCTGGGTGCTGGGATATAAGGGAGGAGTTGGGAGCTGGCAAGGGGTACCTTCGGGCCTGGTTATCCAGTACTTGTCCGGCCGATAAGCGGTGGGGTCTATGGAGCTCTTGTAGGAATACTCCTGCACTGCCTGCTTGATCATCCTCTCCAGGTGAGCTTGGTTCACCGGATTTTCCACTCTGGGCATCGTTAATCCCTGCAGACAACAGGCACCGGGGACAGAGATGAATTAGGGACGCTTGCACCTGTGCACACCGGCTCCTTTAGCCAGGCTCCCCCAGAAGCATCTCTCAGCACTTCCCCACCCGGTGCATGTAGGTCCTGCCCTGTCCCACACCTCTTCCCTGGAGCTGCATCA